AATTATTTAGCTATCTAATATTTATTATCTATCAAATATTTATTAATTTTTGTAAAACAAAAAATATTATACATGTACGTTTTTTGTTGAGCAATCATCGCTTAACCTTAATTCTATGCGTATAAATATTTAAATTAAAGTTTACTCTGTAACAAATTATATAAACAAATTATATATAATTATAGATAAAATTTTCGTAATACATTAGGTGTAGTAAAAAGAAACCCATTATTTTTGAATGAAATTGAATGGAAAAATAATGCATTTCTTTTTACTATACCTAATATTAAGATTCATATGTTTTTATAGACATTGTAAATAACAAGTGAATTATAATAAATGCATTTATTTTATAAATACATATAATTATTTTCCTTCAGTTATACTTTATTAATTGCAACAATGGTAAATAATTGTAATAATATATTTTGACTCTTGGGAATTAATAAATTGTAAAAAATTTATATGTGAATTTATATGTGTATTTATATAAAAATTTATAATATGATCAGGAATTATATTTGAAAAAGTCAACAAAGAAAATATAACAAGTAGACATACACAAAGAGATTTATTAATGAGACTCGTATAATGTAATCAAACAATCGAATCAAATTAATTTTTGAACAACATAAACCAAAAAAAATTGGAAAAAAAATGGAAAATTTTAAAAATATATGTGCGATATTATCGCAACTTAACTAATTGTGTTTGTTGATTTGTCCAAAACTACGCTTTTTGTTAAATCAATTTCTTTTTGCGTAATATTACGATCTCAATTATCTTTCTTGAAAGATAAGTGATAGTGATAATGATATATGTATAGTAAACTCACTGGCAGTACACTTTGATTTGTCGAGGCTTGGTGAGTAAAATGGATCGCACTGGCAAGTTTCTTGCCACCGGCAAAATGCATTGTCAATGCAATCGACATCTCTCTCACATTTATCACCGATGAACGCGACAGTAGATCCTACTATTTGTAAAATGAAAAAAAAAAAATTTTAATAATTTGGTTAATTATGAATTGAATAGAAGTAAATTTTCATTTGGAAATCAATTTCTAATGTGATTTGTTATCAGCAAATAAGTATTTTAATAATAATTGATTTAAAGTAATGCTTAAAAAGTATATAAAGAATCTAAAAAGTGTATATATATATGTATATAAAATATCTAAAGGAGAAATTGTTTTTTAAAATTGAAATTTAAAGATTGTTTGAGAAATTAGGAATTTATCTTAAATGTACGAAAGATATTTAAAAGATTTAGACTTTTATAGGATGATTTAGGGACTTATTTGAAATGTTCTTTGAGAGACATTTTATCAAAAAGACTCTATATAGCTAAAATCTATACA